ATAATATTAAACTTGTGTTAACACACTATTTTAAAACAACAGAAATTATAAGAAATATTCTTTATCAACTCACTTTAGTTTTTTGATTTTTAAATTTTGTAATCCATTCAAATTGACGTCATTAAAACTTAGTTCAATATTCACAGGACTTGCAGGATTTTTTTCCAAAACCATACTTTTGATGTGTAAAGGGTCAAAGGGAGTTAAGTTCAGTTCTCGTAATCCAGATTTGGCATAATTTGTAACGATCATTTGACCTGTTTTCGTTAAACAGCTTTCATCACTATTAGCACATTTCTGCATATCTTGAGCTGTTTAATATTGCATAGTGCATAAAAACAAATTGTAATTTTAAATAAAAACTTTTTATAATTAATTATTTTAAAATAATATTAAATTTGTTAGAGTTAAAAATATATGGTAGTCGTTTTAACTCTCTGGACTTACGCAAAACATTTGCAGCATTGATGGTTGAGAAAAAAATGAAACAAACTATAGTATTTAAAACTATTTTAAACATGTTTATAATATTCTTTATTTAAGTATATATTTTAAAAAAAATTATTGAAATAATTTTGTTTGAATATTACACTTTAAATGAATTTAAGGATATCTTTTTAATGTTCTGAATAAATACACTTTGTAATTCTTTCTTCGATCTTAACAAGTTGAAACGACTTTTCGAATTGAGCGATAAAAACTTGATAAAATTCGTTTTTATATCATTGCTAACAGAATTTTAAAATATTCTATAGCTTTTTTAAACCAGAATACATATACTTTTTTTACATTTAATAAATGTATTATGACTCTACTTTTATTTCTGTCTTATACTGCAATAAAAAAGTTAGTACAGGTATTAATTATTTTATAAAATTAAAATGACTTGAAATGAATTGTTTATTAAATAAAGTCGAATTTTGTAAATTTTGTTATGACTGTCTCTAAAAATATTTTTTTTAATTGTTTATGTAATATCATGGTAATTTAAAATTTTCTTTTATTTAATTTTATGCACTAAAAGTGTTATTACAGTAAAACTTGTATATTAAATATGCCATTAGTATGATAAGTTCATTTGGGTATATTAATTATATTTTTTATCTGAGATCGCAAAAGGCTATATATAATATTTTTTTTTAAATGGCATAACAGTTATTTTGTTTTTGTCAGTTGAAATGACTATATTCTGAATTAATCGTTAACCTATATGTGATGAAAGGTTGTAACACTTTAAAATCATTTCCTGATTTCCTGATAATAGAAAAACACTCCAGGTAGACTTTATTATATAAAATGATAAATGAAATGACTAACATCTAGATGAGTGGAGTGATAGGAGACTAGCAGGAAGATTACGCTTTTTTGCTTTTAATTATCACAATTTTTTTTTTAAATGTGAAAATGTTTTGCATAACATGTTGAAGACAGTAAAATACTTTAATGTGAATTGATAAGTACAAATTTATATATTTTTTAATGTGAACCAAAATCTAATATTCTGCAAAAACGTCAACAATTAAAAAAAAAATTCTGTGTTTATGTACATATATTTAATTAAAAGTTTTAGTTGGATTATAAAAAGTCAGGCCGCCCTTAACGAGGCAGCTCGACTTTACATTAATTACTCATTATACTAGTACGATCTTATAATTAAGTTTGATTTACCTGTGATTTTCTAGTAAAAAGGAGCGTATTATAACCAGGAATTTTTTTTTTAAATAAATAATTTTCACAAATAGTTTTCACAAATTCAATTAATTACAAATATAATTCACCTAGCTTTGTTGGTTGCATTCGAAGTACTCAACTTGATTGATAATAAAATTGGTTTTTCATTATAATATAAAATTATTATTTTAATTATTTTTAAATATTTCAAGTAAAATTTCAAAACCACATCTCTATTTGTATAAATAATAGGATTATATAAAAAAATTTTAAGACAACAGAACGACGTACATAAATACTATTATAATATTGGTAATCAACCAGCAAAACCGAAATTATTACCAAATTTTTAAGAAATAATATTCCGTTTTAGGCTATAAATGTATTCTTCTTTATTGACAAAATGTTAATAAAGAGTCAGTACACACTAGATAAAGAAAAAATTGCAGAACAATGAAATTCTGTTATAGAATTCCCTAAATTGAATTGATATAGTCGTATTTCTGTATTAAATCAATCTTTAGTAAATTATTAAAAACCGACTGTTACGAGTATTAAGAAATGATAATGATAAGCTACTTACATGGGGTTTATATTGAGAACCCTTTGATACCCTTTGATATTATTGTATATATATTATTTACATTTAATATTATTAAAAACTGTTTTAAAAACCAATAATTCGAACGACAAGTTCTTTGTTCTATTTATTAAAATTATCCAAGAAGATAAATTTAATTAGAAAGATTTTAGATTAATCATAGATTTATCGTAATTTTTATATTTTATAATAATTAAATTCGTATAGTTTTTAAACTGTGTAAATTCATTATTAAAGAATAATAAATAATGGAATATTTTGAACTTAGTTGAACTCATTATAATGTATTTACAAATATTAGAGTTAATTTGTATGTCCTTGGTTCAGTATCTATTTACCCATCTCATTCTGAGAATTGCATATTAAAGTATCAAGTATTTTAGTTTATGCTAATATTTCTTCAGCAAATTTTTTATATAATTATTAAATATTTTTAATTAAAAATGCTTAATAAAGAATATCCGGGCAACGGAGCTCTGTGATCATAGGTTTGTTGCTAGAAACTACAAAACTAATCATACATATAAAGCTATTATCTATATTTAATTTTGGATTAACTGAATTGACTATTATAACAGTAGTTTACTATTTGGTTACGAGTATGCTGTTTGATTAAACGAGTATAAAAGTTCAATTTAATAAATAAAAACAATTTTCATATTCTATTGTACTTTGTAATGATAAATAAATTTAGTACCATTCACCCAAATTATTATTGTTACTGGTTAATTAATAAAACAATTAGTATTTTCTATTTACTTTGATTTGAGTATTACTTAATTTACTTACGTTGTTAATGTCTTATTTTTTTTGGTTGATGAAAATTTCTAATACTAAATTTTTGAAATCACAAATTTAGTAATTTTTAATATTATATCAAACTTCAACAATACTTTCCACATTAAAGTGAAGACTCGAAAACTTGCTATCAACATATATGTATAACATATATGTATGTATATTGAAACCCAAATAATAGTAGTGTAGTTTGACAGCAAAAATGAACATTTATAGTATTTTCTATATGGATGTGTCAATCATTCAATGTGTCATATTTAAAATACAGTTTTGAAATAATTTGAAGGATTATCCCTAGAAAAAAAAACATTCCTATGTATCACTGGTATTGAACTATTTGGGTCTCGATACACAACTGAGTAGATTTATTATGTTTCTTTGCCAAAACCAAAACTAAACTTAAATTAAAAGAGTCTTGTGAAGTTATATTATTGTCTACAGATAGAGAATGTGTGTCGCTTTATTTATAATGAAATATATTGACACGTGTATATTGACACAGATTAACACCACTTTAATAAAGAAAATATCTATGAATATAATTAATTTTTCTATAGTTTTTAATAGATAATTCATTATGGTAGTACAAAATTAAACAAGTCAGTCTACATTATATTAATTACCAGATAATCAAAAGGTTGTTAATTAGAACGATATAATGACAATATTAAAATCATATTAATCATCACTAATAAAAACAGCAATATATTTGTACATATGTATATAGTATTTACTACTAGCAATGAAATAAATTTTACAATTTTATATCTTCTTAATATTATAGTATTCAATATTCAATTAAAATGTATGCAATTAGAAATTATTAAATTGTTCTAGGAATTATTATTTCATAAAAGCTCGCATATTGTATTGTGAATATGAAAGTTATTACTGCATATTGATGATATGTTTCGGTGAATATCACTGTAAGCAAACAATATACCCTATAGATAAATTCAATTGTGTAAATAATATTATACCATATGGATAGATTTATTTTATTATTAATTGTTATTGTCTATTTTTCATATCAAAATTAATATAAACTTATCTTACTGTTAAGTTGTTTTGATCCTAAGTAAAAATTCAAACGATTTGTTTAATATTTTATTTTACAATTATAATATACACAAAAGCTTCTGATAATTGTTTCAAAAAATATATTTATTTTTTTTTGGAAATAATTGATAAACATTTATATAAATAAAAGGTAAATAAAAAAAATTAGAAATATACAACAACAAATTCCTTATGAGGTTTTTACCCTTTAGAACGCATACAATAGAAATTAACACTTTATTATTTGACTTTTATAGAGATTGTTAGAAAATAACTTTTTATAAGAAGAAAACACGTTTACTTGGGCTGAGTCAGAAAATAATATTCAAATAATTAAAAATGAACTTAATTCGAACTTGCTAATGACAAAGAAATCAGATAAATTCATAATCAGATTTGTTCATAATTTCAACAGAAATTTGTGATGTTCGTTTCTTGTCCACGAATCAAAATTCTATAATCATTCACTGTAGAATTGTTAGTATTTGTTGATTTTTAATACCTGAATGTGACGTTGTATTGTATTTCATACCTTGAACAGCTTTTAAATACTAATTTTTGTAGATTAATAATTAGTTTTAGATATCGAATTTTATTCATGGCACCCATTAAACTCTACATTTTATGTTAGTTGCCTTTCTTTTGGTTTAAATGTGACTTCATGTGACAAATCCAGGTAATTGATGTAGCAGCTTGTAATTATAAAATTACTATAAGTTAATGGAAGAATGTTCTCACATTTTATTAGTTAATTATTTTTTTTTGTTAATTTTTGTTGAGGGCCTTGTTGTCGTAATTAAAGGTATCGAATCAGATGTACAACCCATTGAGATAACAAATGCCCTAAGCGAAAAAGGCTTTAGCGCTAGAGCAGTAATAAATATTGTTAACAAAGATAAAATCCCACAACCTATGTTCAAAGTTGAACTTCACCCGGAAGCTTCTAAGCTTAAAAAAATGAGAGCCATCCCATCTACAACCTACAGTATTTACTTCACCGCAGAATTAGCGTTGAGGAGCCCCACAAAAGAAATGGTCCGGTGCAATGCACAAACTGCCAAGAGTATGGCCATACTAAGTCATATTGCACTCTTCGTACAGTGTGCGTAGCTTGTGGCGAGCCTCACCATAGTTCCGAATGCGATAAAAAAGCATTAAAGGATACCAACTCCAAAAAATGTAGCAACTGCAGTGGAAATCACACTGCAAACTACAGAGGCTGTCCTATTTATAAAGAACTAAAGCACAGGTTAGCTCTGCAGAAAGAAGCGTTGCGTAATCCTACAAGAAGCAACACCATTAAATTAGTTGAAGTACCTCAACCTTTAACCTGTTACACCAGGTGTTTCATATGCTAATGTCGTTAAATCTGACAAGCAACAAGCCCCTCCAGTTCAAAGTAATAGTTTGGAAATAATGATCTCCACTCTCACTCAG